TATAAAAGTTATTTTAGGTTAAGGCTTCACCTTTATTTAGAAATGCCCTATCATTTTCTACCCTATAGTTTAGGGTTGACTTCAAACTCAGCTCCAATTCCAATTTCCTCAAAGTCAGAGTTCCAAACGCAACTTTCAAATAAAACTCAACTCAATATCAATCCCAAACTCAAATCCAACTTACTAAACTCAAATCAAATTTAAACCCTAAACTTTGTACATAAATCCAATTTGACTTGCCCTTATTTCAAACTCAAGCTCAAATTCAAACTTCAAACTTGATATCCAAGTTTAATTTTCAATCTTAACTAACCTAAACCCTAGAGTTTCAAGATCTTAAAACACTAATTAAAGTTTAAAACTTAAACCCAAATTTAAATAAACCTTAATCAAATTTAATTAACATTAACCAACTTTATAAAATATAATAAAATTAAATCAATTTTACTTATTAAACTTTATTTAAACCTCATAAAATTCAATTAAATTTAAATTAAAATAAACTTAAAAAGTTTTTAACAAACTTAGACAAATTTAAATAAATTTTAACAAACTTTAAGAACCATAAATAATTATTAATAAACTTTAAAAAGCCTAAATTATAAGCCCTAAAAAATTTAGCAAACTTAATTTTAATAAGCTTTATTAAATTTTAACTAACTTCAACAAATATCAATAAAATTTAAATCAATAAACAAACTTAAACAAATTTCAAAAATAAACTTAAGGAATCTTAATAATCTTCAAATAAAATTTAATAATTCTTAAAATAAATTTTGAAATAAACCTAAAATAAACTTAATAATTAAAACCCAAATGAACATAAAAACAGTTTCAAATAACTTAAATAACAAGCATAACATCAACAAATTCAAATACTTTCTTAATAAATAACTTCAACTAATTGGAACAAGCAAATCAACTCAAACCCTCAAATGAAATTAAACTAAAACAATTCAAGTTCTCAACTCAAGTGAATCAATCCTAATCAAATTTGTTTAAATATTTCCAATATTACATAAATTTTTTAATCCATTAATTTGTGTCATTGATATCAATCATCTCATAGACACTTACCAATGATCGTGAAATTTATAAGCCAAAACATTAGTTGAGAGTATTCTTGATAGTCACCACTCTTGAGATGTAATTAATCAAGATGGCTTTTTCTCGTAAGGATACCAGACCTAAAATAAAATAAACCTTATCTTTTACCAGTAAGGTAAGAAAAAAACACTAGTTCCGTAGACATATAAATCATAGAGATTTTTCTCATCCGTGAGATTAGATTCACACTGAGGTAATGTGTCGATCCTTTGGGGTAGTGTGTTTTTCTTCAAATATCATGTATGGTCATTTAGATAGAAACTATTCAAGATCTATGGTGGATAAATAATAAAAATTCCACTAATTTGTTAACCTTTTTCCCCTTACTTTACCCATATTTTGGCCAATTATGTGTTAAAAATCCATTTTGATCTTGATCTTTTGATAGAAAACTAGTGGGAAAGTTAGTTTAACACTCATTTATTGGTAAAATTGGCATATTGCTATTTGGGAACTACAATATCTAGACGATTGTGAAATCATGAGAGTTTTGTAGGAATTAGGACATTACACCATAATATGAAACTCGAACTTTATTTTAATCTCAGCAGAGATCAAGCAGTATTTTGCTTTCAATTATCAATGCAAAATTAAAAAGTTTGAATGATGTTAAAACATAAGCAATTTAATAATACAATGAAGTTTTCTATCAAAACTAAAATCTAAAAAAAGTTTTAATTCCTTGTAATGTTTAGAACTGTTTAGAACTTCCATTTTTTTCATTTTTTTTCTCTGCTTGAAACCATTGAATAATAAAAAAAAAACTACATAGATTAGTACTTGATATAATTTAGAAATTAATGTTGTTCCATTTGGGATTGACACATGGGCTCAAATCCTTATACTATTTGATTGATAAAAGCACTTAGTATGAATTATTTACCACTTCGCAGCATGAATTAATACTCTTACTATAAAAATTGATTTAAAAATCTATGATAAAAAGTGTAATATTATAAAATCAATAAAAATGTTATTATTAAATTAAGTAGCTGGTTACTTATAGAATTTATTTGAAAAAATTGAAAAAAAATTAAAATTTAGTGAATGATTTTTCTAGACGAAATTATGTTTGCTTTGAGTTTAGTTGTACCATCTTATGTTGATATTATTTTTTTCCTTGTGAGTAATATTGTACCATATGGGTTGTCATATAGTAAGGAAAAAAACATTATCTATGATGCTAAATTTTATTTTAAGGGTGAAATTTTTATTTAAGATGTGTAAAATATCGAATTATTAGAAAATATGCCATTTAAGAAATCTTAAATAATGTAATTAGTAAGTGAAATTATGAATACAAATATGAAGAGTATTTTGGAAAATAGAAAATGACATTTAGGATTTTACAATTTGAAAATTGTGGGCCTACTATATTAAAATATGTGAAAGAGTACATAAGGATGCATGATTTTTGTTAAAGAGTAGGATATGCTAAAGAGTAGGATATACATACATACATACATACATACATACAT